CTCTCTAAATTAACTCAGCTCCTGGTAAGATCAGAATCTTCTCCCATGATCTAGACCTTCAGGTTTCCCAGTGAAGGTGTGCATTCAGGGGTGAACAATCCCCTTTCCATAGTTTACATTAGAGTTCACTTTATGTTATACATTCTATGGGTTTTGACAAATATACTAACGACATGTATCCACCATTACAGTGTTATACAGAATCGTTTCACTGCCCTCCAAGTCCCCTGTGCTGCACCTATTCTTCTCTCCTTCTTTTCTTCCCCAACTCCAGTGGCAAGCGCTGATTTTTTTATTGTCTCCAGAAGTTTCCCTTTTCCAAAATGTCACATGGTTAGAATAGTACACTATGTAGCTTTTCCAGATAGGGTTCTTTCACTTAGAAATATGTACTTAAAATTCCTCCATGTATTTTTGTGCCTTGACAGCTTACTTATTTTTATTATTGAGAAATATTCCATTGTATGAATGTACCAAAGTTTATTTAGCCATTCATCCATGAAACATCTTGGTTGCTTCCAAATTCTGGCAATCTCAATTCATTTGGTTAAATACCACGGAGCATGGTAGCTGAATTGTATTATTAAGAGAATGTTTTGTTTTGTTTTGTAAGAAACTGCCAGCCTGTCTTCCAAAGTGGCTGCAACATTTTTTATTCCCATCGGCAATGAACAACAGTTCCTGTTGCTCCACATCCTTGTCAGCATTTAGTGTTGTCAGTGTTTTTGATTTTAGCCATTCTAATAGGTATGTAGTGGTGTCTCATTGTTTGTTTTAATTTGAAACTCCCTAATGACGTATGATATTGAGCATATTTTTATATGCTTATTTGCCATCTGTATATCTTCTTTGGTGAGAGATTTGTTCAGATATTTTGATCATTTTTCAGTTGGGTTTTTCTTATCGCTGAGTTTTAAGAGGTCTTTTTATATTTTGGATATAAGCCCTTTAAGAGACACATGTTTTGTAAATATTTTCTTCTAGGCTGTGACTTATCATTTCCTCCTTGGAACAGTATCTTTCCCCTGAACAGTTTTTAATTTTATTGATATCCAACTTATCAATTTCTTTATTTCATGAATCATGTATTTGGTGTTGTACTTAAAAGCCTTCACCAAATCCAGGGTCACCTAGGTTTTTTTCTGTGTTATCTCCTAGGAGTTTTATAGTTTTTTATTTAGAACTATGTTTTGTTTTGAGTTAATATTTGTGAAAGGCATAAGATATATAGGAATTTTCTGAAGGGTATAGACTCTATATAAGTCTAGATTTTTTTGCATGGGGATGTCCAATTTTTCCAGCCCCACTAATTGAAAAGATATCCCTTCTTGATTAAATTGCGTTGCTCCTTTGCCAAGAATGTATTGATTATATGTACACCTAGAATCTGGGGTACCTGGGGATTTTAACCTCTTACCCCCAGGTGATCCGAACATGCATCCATTTTGGGGAACCAGCGCATAGAGGAAAGTGCATGGATGGTTATAGAAGCTCCTCTAGTAAGATAATAGAAGTCCAGCAGGCAGCGACTTAGCAAGAATCCACCTGCTTTCCCTATTGTGGAAGGTCCTACCTGCAGGAAAATTGTCATAAGCGATTGCATATTCTGTTAGAATCCCAGCTCCAAGAAAGCCACCCCACTACCTGTTGCTGCTGCTTCTACATGAACCACTTCCCTACCTTTAAGGGGAAGATGCCTAACTAAAGAAACTGGGGATTTATACCAGGTGTGCTTTTCAATGATTCCCTTGGCACAGCGGGTAAGGACGAGATGGTGATTTATTCCTTTGGGGACAATTTCTTATCAAATGTCCCTTTAGACCACACTGGTAACAAGCTTTGCCAGACTGGCGACTAACCCGAGCCTTTCTCTTATCTGAGCCCCTGAGGTCTGCTTGCCTGAAGGCCATGACTAAGGCAGTGGCTTTTGTTTGATTTTTTCTGTTCCTTTCAGCCTGGTCCTCCTGGTTTTTATTATAAAACACCAAGACTGCCTGGTTTAATAATGACTTTAGACTCTGCTCTGGCCCCAAGGCCAGCTTTTGGAGCTTTCTCTGAGTATCTGCTGCTGCCTGAGTAATAAACTTGTCCTTTAGTATTAACTAACCCTTAATGGAGTCTGGTGACAGGGGAGTGTACTTTCCTAAGGCCTCCCGCAATCGCTTAAGGAAAGCTGTTGGGTTTTCTTCCGTTCTCTGAGCTACGGTGGATAACACTGCATAGTTTATGGGCTTCTTCCTAGTTCGTCTTAATCCCTCAAGTATGCAGGTTAGGAAATGCCTACGACGCCAGTCCCCTTGTTCTGAATCCAGATTCCAGCGAGGCTTCGTGCCAGGGACTGCCTGCTTGCCTGTTGGCTATCTATCCTTTTCCTCTGGCATTATTAGGCTGTGTGCATGACTATGGTACCAAGTGTCCCCAAACTTTTGAGCCGCTGCTAGAGCAGCCTCTTTCTTATTGCTGGTGAGGGCTTGATGAAGCAGTAGCATGATATTTTTCCAGTTTAGTTTGAAGGACTGCCCCAGGCCTTGCAGAGCATCTATGTACTTGTCTGGGTTATTTGAAAACTTTTCTAAGACCACCTTAATTTGCTTTAAGTTAGAAAGTGAGAAGGGTGTGTGCACCTTGGTTGGGCCAAATTTTCTTCCCACTGCCTGTAAGGGACAGAGTCAGGGCATCCCAGTAGCCTGAGATGCCCTGGCCATCTTGGCCCTTTCTGGCTCCTGTTGGGGTACAGGGACTAAAGAGCCCCAGTTGACACTGATGGAGGTAGTTGCCACAGGAGTTCAGTATGTGGAGGTAGTCCTGAGGAGGGCTGAGTAGGGTATGGGGTACAGGCCCGACAGAGTTGAGGCTTATTCCTTAGGGAAAAGAAGAGTTGCACATAGAGGACATTAAACCATTTGCCCTCACTTTTACAACACAGTATTCTTGAAGAATAGTGTTATAGTCTATTCTTCCCTTCGGAGGCCAGGTTTTCCACTTGGCGGAGGGTATTTTGGCCACTCTGTTTGGCAGAGGAAAATGAGCTGTTTCTTTTTCAAAGATTGTGTGTTAAATTGGTCCTAATTTACCAGTATACATTTTAAAGGGGACTTGAGTTTGGGAAGATTGGCACCCATCTGAAATTGAACACAAGAGATGCCAGCATCCCCAGTTATAAATTACAGCTCCTCTAGCTGAGGCGCTCCTCAGATAAGGGTACCGGGTCTGAGGCATTCCTTAGTCAGTACCTTGAAATTTCTGTGTGCCCAAGATGAGTGTTTATTTTTTCAGGGGCCTCCCATGTACTGGATTTAAATGATGCCTACCAGTGTCATGGGACTCACTGTTTGCATGACCTCCAGTGACTACCATAGAGGCATGAAGGGCTGCTGGGTTGGGTAGTTGCGTACCAATGAGTTCTTTATGAGTCCAGTGAGGCTTGGGAGATAGATACCAATATTTCCTTTAATTTGCACAGGCCAGATTATAAAACTGCCCTATAAGGGTAAACCTCTAGGGAAGGAACTTAATGCACATTAATCTGAAGAAGGTGGGGCCGCCTGGACGAGGCAATACCCTCAGGACCTGGGCCTTCTTCCCCAACTTTATTTTCCATTATAGGAAAATGCCTTTAGGGTTGTGAGGCCGGCCATTAAGTATTTGGGCCCTGGAACAGGTTTTACTATGATCTTCTAGATGGAAAAGTTCTACCAGAGACAGAGCTAATCCTAAGCAAGGCAAATTATACAGAAAACACAAATAGGCTTTTGGATTTCCCTGCTCAAGATTGTTTCTACCAGGAACTTGAACCAGCAGTCTCACAACTGCCAGCTCTATGCCTTAGCCCCTTTGCCATTTGGCCATTTTCGCTAAAAAACAATGTGGAGAGCTTCCTTAAGCCCCACCTGAATGAGAATGCTGCACGCTGAGGCGGTGCAACAGACCTGTGCCTGGAATTTGAACCCAGGTATTGGGGCGAAAGCCAGGCAGGGTTTGTAGCCAGTGGCTGTTTCTTCCTTCAACCGCTGTGTTTTTGTTTGTTTGTTTGTTTGTTTGTTTGTTTGTTTGTTTTCTTGAGACAGCATCTTGATCTGTCACCAGGCTGAAGTGCAGTGGAGCAATCTCAGCTCACTACAATCTCCACCTCCCGTGTTCAAGCAGTTCTCCTGCCTCAGCCTCCCCATAGCTGGGATTACAGGCGTGCGCCACCACACCCAGCTAGTTTTTTGTATTTTTAGTAGAGACAGGGTTTCACCATGTTGGCCAGGATGGTCTCGATCTCCTGACCTCGTGATCCACCCACCTTGGCCTCCCAAAGTGCTGGGGTTACAGGCGTGAACCACTGCGCCCCGCCAACCGCTGTTTTTTTGCTACACTACGAGAGAAAAAAAAAAAACTGCTTGCCGCTGTGATTTAAAAGCCAGGCCGCTGCGTTCCTGTTTGCCATGGCTCTGGGACCATGGGCGCACTCTGAGTCCCTTTTTTCACTGCTGCCTCCGACTGGGGAACTCGGGAGAGGCCTGCCTGGCTGTACCTCGCCGCCGCGCTCCGCGGTCCCCTGCAGGCTCCGGTTCCAGGTTCCACCCGGGCACGGGCTACACCTCGCTCCCCGCTGTTTTCCTCTCGCCCACAGCGCCGGTGACTGCGGCTTTTAACAGCCCGGCCCATCCCCGGGGCTGAGCTTTGGGCCGAACACACGGCTGGGACATGACAGTTTCTGCAGACAGCATCTGCTTGCCGCAGGCCGCTTACATCTGGGCTGGGCCCTGCCCGCACAGCCCGCACCGCAGCGCTGGTGTTCTTTCTTTCTTTCTTCCTTCTTTCTTTCTCTCTCTCTCTCTCTTTCTCTTCTTTTCTTTCTTTCCTTTCTTCCCTTTCCTTCTCTCTCTCTCTTTCTTTCTTTCTCTTTCTTTCTTTTCTTTTCCTTCCTTTCTCTCTCTCTCTCTCTCTCTTTCTTTTTTTCCAGGAACACGTGCACTTTATTGAACGCCATTGTAGAAAAGTGTGTGAGTCCTGATACAGGATGGGCTGGGGGCAGGGCGAGGAATGGAAGCTGGAGTACGTGGGAGACAGGTCACAGGCAGAGCCCCTGGCCGGGATGATTCCTCTGGATCTACTGATAGGCTTGCAGAATCAGTATTGGGATGATGATCAGCAGAATGGTCATGATAATGCCCAAAATCAGGGCCCAGATGTTCAGGCACTTGGCGGCGGAGGCGTAGGGCTGGGCCCGGGTCAGGTCGCCAACCATCTTCCCGTCCCTAGACTTCACGGAGCAGGCGAAAGCTGTGAAGCCCAGGCAGCGGGAGTTAATGAAGAGGGTGTTGAACAGGGACCCGACGTCGTGGTCTGGCACGGAGGTCTCGCTGTGGATGCGGATCACCGTGGATGTCGGGGGCGCAGGGTTGTGGGGCACCCCCGATGCAGCCACCTCTTGCTCCTCCTTAGGCATCTCATAGTTGGGGGGACGGTAGGTGCTGGCGGGAGTGAAGAAGGTTTGGACAGTGTGGTTCATGGTGTCCAGGGAAGCCCATCCGTGGTCGGGTTGCTGGGGTGCTTCTCAGTGGGCCCTCCCATTCCCCGTTAGTTTGGATTTCTCAACTCCGCTCCAGTGTTCTTAAAGCGACAGGCAGAATTCAAGTGAGAGGGTGTCGGATATAACTCACCACTCTGACATGCTTTCTTGGCTCCTGACTGCCTCCTCCTGGCTGGTTCGCCACTAATTGTTTCCGAGTTTTGGGGTGCAGGGGAGCACTTAGCTCCCCTGAAAGGATTTTTTCCAGGCTCTTGGTCTCTCACTTCCCCAAGAATGGGAGAGGGGACCACGGTGCCGTGCACTCACAAGTATGGAACTCCAAAGAGTTTTTACAGAAAGTGATTTATTTAGGCAGAGAGAAAAAAAGAAAGATGAGAGAGAAAGCTTCCACGAGGATTGTGGAAGGCGGCCCAAGTATGGAATCCTGGAGAGGAAAGCAGCTTCCACACTGAGTGGAAGGGGACCTCAGAGGGGGACATCCCTGACAGAGAGAAAGCTTCCACAAGGATGGTGGAAGGGGACGCAAAGAAGGAATCCAAGGAGGTGAGGAAGAAGGGGACTTTTAACCTCGGAGGAATTCCCACCTTCTCCAAGCCCCTTGGCCAACCAAAAGAGTTCCTGTAAACTTCCTCTGGAGTGATTGGCCTTTGGTCCTTTCCCCCGTGTGCGAAAATTTAAACAAAGACCTCTAATCCCTGGATGCAGAAAAGGGGGAGGGGGCAAGGTTATGGCGCTGGGAAGTTTTGGCCTTTGAAATTACGCCCCCTTGTGGACCCGGGAAGAGAATACCTTCCCTCAGAACCAGAGGGCCTTGGGTGGGGTGGGCACGCTGCCCGTATGGGGTGAGCAAAGAGGGAATTTCCAAACCCAAGAACTGGCAGACCCGGCAGAAACTGTTGGAGAGAGAACAGTTACTCGGGCTCAAGTCTAGAGATTAATTGTGATGTGCCTTGCTTTCTAGAATAATAAAAACAGTGTATGCCAGTAAAAAATAGAACGGGTGGTACTAATGGGATGTCGTTACGACACACACATATGTATGTATGTGTATACACACATATGCACACATGCACACAGATATGTGTATGTGTGTATTTACAACTGAGGCCAAACTGCTAGGTGACAACGCAGTCCTACTTTTCTACCTTCTCTTTTCTAACATCTTTCAAAGATGATTTTTTTAAAGATATTCAATTATTTTCAATAATTAAAAAAAATTTCAAACAGAATGAATATGCATGCTCAATTATTTATCAATACCATATTTTACATTTGGTTTTAAATAAGCAATGTGTTGTTAGATATTTTAACATTTTAGATGTGAAAGTGATCATTGCTGCTCCTCATTTTTAGAAGAGTGGATTTACAATATATGTATTTGTTGCAAGTTGTATATTTAAATTACTTAAAAATACATCTTCTTTGGTAATAGCTTTTAAAAATAAATTTGTGGCACATTAGAATGTTTTGAAGCAAAATTGCTTTTCAGTTTGTATTCTCTAAACACCAAAATTGTACTTTGAAGGATTAAAAAACTACAAGAATACTCATATTTGACCTATAAAATAAGTAACTTAGATGGAATAATTTGAATTTGGAAATTTCTTTATACACTAAATTTGAAGTATCAATGCCATTTTGTTTTTACAGATTTTCCTTGAAACATTATATTGGTTACTGAAAAGAGCTATGACCCTTTATGAAAGGATGATTTTAGTGATGCAACTTGTGTATGAGGTACATTAGGAAGCATTGATTCCTGTGCCCGTTCACTAAGATTTTATGAAACAACTTAAAACAGGGCCACAGTAAGTTCCAGGAGTGTGGTCAGGCATGCCTCCCTCCTCACTGGACCCACAAGAAGCTTTCAGGGTTCTGGGAGAAAGATGCCCAGGGTGCAGAGGCTGTCACAAGGGAAGAAGGGCCAGGGTGGGGAATCCAGCACAGGGGGCCTGGCCTCACAGGGGAGTGGGAGAAGATTTTCTGAGGAAGCTGTGTCCAAGCTGAGATCCTTCCTGTTCCACGTGCTCCAGTGCAAGGCCCGCAGGAGCCCCGTGAGCAAGGCCAACCTAGACCCTGCTTGGGGGATTCCCTTGACAGCGAGGGAAGGGCATGGCCAGGGGAGCTGAGGGCAGTCTCAGAAGGACGGCATCAGAGGCACTCTCACCGTTTCTATCATCAATGCCTATAGTTTTGTATCCGCATGGGGGTTGTGACTGGGTGATCTGGGGAAGGGTCTGTCAGCGGGTCAAGGGTCGCTCTAAATTGGATGTTGTCTGATGAAGGAGGCTTGTCTCCAAGTTGGACGCTGTCTGATGGAGGAGGCTTGTCGCTAAGTTGGATGCTGTCTGATAGAGGAGGTTTGTCAATTGTTCAGTGTCTCAAGCAATCTTACCTGGAAGAGGGCAGAGGACCGCCAGGAGAAAGCCGTTGCTGGTAATGAGTTAGATGCCGCTCATTTTAACCAAGTGAGTGCAGTGCTTGGTATTTTAGGGGGTGATAAAGTGACCTTGATATATTTTCTCTTGGAGGTCTATGTTAGAGTCACTGTGGGGTGGGGGTCTCTGTGGAGATCTCCATGTTGGTTTTGAAGGATCTCTGTGTGAGTCTGTGTCAGGGGTTTCTCTGCAGGGGGAGTCTCTCTGGGGGGTTTTCATGGGGGGTCTCAGTCAGCATCTCTGTTAGGGCCTCAGGGGGTCACTGTGGGGAATCTGAAAGTCTCTGTGAATATGGGGACCCTTTGGGGGTCTCTGTGGGAATCTTCGAGTGTGGGGCTCTACACGGGGTCTCCGTGGGGCTCCTCTGCTGCAGGTCCCAGGACCCTGTGTCCCATAAATGTTGGGCCCACACTGGAGCTGCCCAGGTCACCATCCCAGACAGGACTTGGCTCCAGCAGTAGCCTGGATGCCCAAAGGGACACCAGAGCCTGTTCCCAACAGGTGCCCTGCATGGGTTCCACAGGGCCTGGGGACAGGCCTGTCCCCTTGTCCTCAGCCTCCATCACCCCTACAGATATAAAGCTCTCCCTGGGCAGAAGGGCCCTGGGCACAGTCCTCTGGGGAGCTAGCTTTTGCCTGCTCAGCCCTTGCTCCTGCCTTCCCTGGGGATGCCCAGGAGGGACCAGCACCAGGACAGAGGGGGTGCAGGACCCTGCCCTGTGGGGACTGTCCCTGCCAACCATGTGACCAGATCCTTTGAGGCCCCATGTGTTCCCTGCCAGCACCTGGGCCTGGAGCCACAGATGTGCTGTGTGACCCAGGCCAGCCCTTGCCTTCGGGGTCCCCCTCCCCTGGGAGTGGCACTGGCCACTTTTGGTTGTAGCGGTTACCAGACTGCGAGGACCCTGGTTACAGCAGCGGGCAGCTTGTGGATCCTGCACTTGCGAACTTATGTTCATCTTCCCTGATTCTTCTCCCACCTCCCACCCTGGGCCTAAGGTCCCCTTTGCTGGTTCCTAACCACAGAGTCCCACCAGAGGGGCAGGCAGCAGCCCTGGGCGCCCCTGACATGCCAACCCCACAATCATTAGTGGGCTGGGAGGCTCGTCCTGGAGGCTGCTCTGGAGAGTGAGTCAGCAGACACCAGATGCGAACACGGGTGTTATCAAGGCTAAGCCACATGCTGGTGGGGTCCCGGTCCATCCCAGAACTAGCAGGAAGGGAAAGGCCTGGGGAAGATATCATCTCTTCCTCACCAGGAGATCAGGGAAGGAGCTGTCCCGCCTCTGACCCAGGGCCAGTACAGGACACCCCCACATTCCCAGGCTACCACAGGGCAGGGAGGCTGCTGGATCCATCACTCCTCCAGTCTGAGGGGAGCCTACCACCCCCTTGGTCCATGAGGCCCTTGCAGACCCAGCCCGTACAGCAGCACAGAGGTCACCTTGGTGAGAACGGGGGATGCAGTCAGCCGGAGCCAGGCAGGGTCTCCACAGGGTTTGCTGTCCTTCAAAGGCTCTGGGTGATGATCCAGTTTGGAAACCAGACACAGTGTGGGGACAGGGAGAAGAGGGGGCCCTCCACATCCCTGTCAGCTTCCTTCAGGCCCAGCTCTAGCCCTTCTGGAAGCCGCGCTCAGGAGGAGCGGACGCTGAGCCCTTTCCTGTACCCTAGCATGGCACAGATAGAAGCCACCACCTCTGCAGGGAAAGAAGGTGTATTGGGAACCCCTCTGTGGAAGTCATGAACACATGGGGGCTGTAATCACCCACGCAGCACAGGTTTGTTCTGTAGGTGTCCAGTTTTATTTGAGTAGAACCCGCTGTCTCCCCCAAGAGAGGTGTGAGAAGCCTGGTCTGGTTCAGGAGGACCTCAGTTCCTGCGGCTGTGGATGGGGCCGCCCGAGGTGCTTGCCACCCGTGGCCTGTGGTGGTGGTGACCAGCTGGGGACACAGGCTCCTTGGGACGTGGGGTCCAATTGCTGTCTCTGCTGCCCCTATTTTTGACATGACAGTCATGGCCCTTGGGGGTGGCTTTGGGGTAGCAGGTCAGAACGCACATCTCTCTGCTGTGTTCTTGGTGGCAGTAACCCCTGTGGCAGCAGGAATGCACATTGTCCTGGGAATGGAGGTCGCCTTTGTGGCGATTGACCTCTGAGGGACCACGTCCCTGCCGAAGCCCCAGTTTGTCCGCCAGGATTTGTCCCACAACTCTGATGATGGACATGCTGTCCATGAACAACCTTGCTGGGCCAGACTCGCGGCTCTGGACACCCACTGCCCCAGGCCTGCCTTTCTGCAGGACGTCTTCCTGCCCTGTGCCTTTTTTCCTGGGGGGTACACCCTGCAGACGGTGGCTGATCTGTCTCCGGAAGTTGCTTTCTGGTGGTGCCTGTCCCTTCTCCGGCTGAGGGTGGACGTATTTCCTTTCCTGTCTGTCTCCTATTTCCCTGGCATGGGCAGGGTGGCTCCTCCCACTGGCTTCTGAGGTCCTGGGTCTCTTAGTCCCATGTCCCGGCTCCCCTGGTCTGGGCCTCCTGCCTTGTCTGCAGAGCCCACTGCCTTCTGACTCTTCTGCGGGGCCTTCACTTTTGGGCTCCCAGGCTCCTGCTGCCCCGGGCCTTTCTCTCCCATCCATAGGAGGTCACGTAGCCCCTGGGAAGCTGTGGTGTTCTTACTGGACACACTCTGGAAAGTGGACAGAGGGGCCTGAGCAGGTGGCATGTCTGTGGTGGGGAGCATGTCCACGTGGCGGCCAGAAGGCA